TAAGAATAAACATGAAGATCTGAAAGAGGACATCAAAATCATAAAATGTGGGAGAAAGGAGCAAGAAAGTGTGGACGTTTTTCTTTTTAGAATGTGTCTGAGCCTTTATGATTACTAGTCTAAAGAATAGAATGTAGATATAGTAATGGGTTACCATACTTGAAAAACAGGATAACTACAAATCAAAACCATAAAGTCACAAAAACTAAAACGAAAGAAATCAAGATAAAACAAAATAAAATTGTCAATCCACAAATGGAAAAACAACAAGAAAAAGAAAGAAACAAAGAAGAAACACAAGATCAACTGGAAAATAGGTTTAAAATGGCAATAAACACACAACTGTTTATAATTACTGTAAATGTCAATGGATTAAATGTTCCAGTCAAAAGACATACAGTGGCAGATTGCATAATAAAATGAGAACATACAATATGCTGCCTACAAGAGACCCACTTTAGGGCAAAGAACACACCTAGATTGAAAGTGAAGGGATGTAAAAAGATATTTCATGCAAATAGAAATGTCAAGAAATCGGGGGTAGCAATACTCATATCAGACAAAACAGACTTTAAAACAAAGGTCATAAAGAAAGACAAAGAAGGACACTATATAATGATAAAAGGAGAAATGCAAGAAGAGGATATTAAACTTGTTAACATATATGCACCCAGTATAGCACCTAAATACATAAAACAAATACTAAAAGACATAAAGGGAGAAATTGATGGGAATACAGTAATAGCAGAAGACTTCAACACCCTTCTAATATCATTGGACAGATCTTCTAGACAGAAAATCAATAAGGCAACAGAGATCCTAAATGATACAATAGAACAGTTAGACTTAATTGTATTTTCGAAACATTACATCCCCAAAAAACAGAATATACATTCTTTCCAAGTGCACATGGAACATTCTCTAGGATAGACCACATACTCAGACACAAACCAAGCCTCAACAAATTGAAGAGAATAGAAATTACTTCAAGCACCTTTTCTGACCACAGTGGCATGAAACTAGATCAACCACAAGAAGAGAACTGAGAAAAAAAAAAAGATTGCACAGAGACTAAACAACATACTAATTTAAAAAAAAAAATGGGTCAATGATGAAATCAAAGAAGAAATTTTTAAAAATACCTTGAGACAAATGACAATGAAAATACAACTACACAAAATCTATGGGATGAAGAAAAAGCATTCCTAAGAGGGAAGTTCATAGTGATACAGGCCTTCCTCAAAAAACAGGAATAATCTCAAATAAACAACCTAATCTACCATCTAAAGAATTAGAAAAAGAAGAATAAACAAAACCTAAAGTAGCAGAAGAAAAGAAGTAATAAAAGTCAAGGAGGAAATAAATAAAATAGTGGTTAAAAAACAACAGAAAAAAATCAATAAAACCAAGAGCTGTTTTTTTGAAAGAGTAAACAAAATCAACAAACCTCTGGCCAGGCCCACCAACAAGAAGAGAGAGAGAGCTCAAATAAACAAAGTAAGAAAGGAAAGAGCAGAAATTACAGCCAATACTGCAAATACACAAAAAGCCCTAAGAGAATATTATGAAAAATCATATGCCAACAAACTGGACAAGCTAGAAGAAATGGACAAGTTTCTAGAAACGTATGGTCCATCAAAACTGAATCAAGAAGGAATGCATAATCTGAGCAGACTGATCACTAAAAGTGAAACAGAATCAGTTAAAAAAAATAATAGCAAACAAAAAAATACTCTCTGCAAACAAAAGTCTAGAACTGGGTGACTTCACTGAGAAATTCTATCAAACATACAAAGAACTTATACCCATCATTCTCAAACTCTTCCAAAAGAATGAAGAGGAGGGTATACTCTCAAACTCATTCTATGAAGCTACCATCAGCCTGATACTGAAACCAGATAAAGACTCTACCAAAAAAGAAAATTACAGGTCAATATCTTTGAAGAATATAGATGCAAAAACTCTCAATAAAATGTTAGCAAACTGAATCCAAAATTACATTAAAAAGATTGTACATTATGATCAAGTTAGATTCATCCCAGGGACACAAGGATGCTTTAACATATGCATATCAACCAATGTGATACACCACATCAACACAAGAAAGGACAAAAATCACGTAATCATCTCAATAGATGCAGAAAAAGCATGTGATAAAATTCAATAGCCATTCTTGATAAAAATTCTTACCAAAGTGGGTACAGAGGAAACATATCTCAACATAATAAAAGCTATTTATGTCAAACCCACAGCCAGCATAACACTCACCCATGAAAAATGGAAAGCCTTCCCGCTAGAATCTAGAACAAGGCAAGGATGCCCACGCTCACCACTGACTCAACACAGTATTTGAAGTCCTAGTCAAAGCAATCAGACAAGAAATAGAATAAAAGGGATCCAAATGAAAAGAGAAGAGGCAAAATTATCACTACATGCAGATGACATGATACTATACACACAAACCCCTAAAGGCTCCACACAAAAATGACTAGACCTGATAGACACATTCAGCAAGGTAGCAGGATACAAGATTAACATACAGAAATCGGTTGCATGTTTTACACTAATAATGAAATATCAGAAAAGGAAATGAAAAAAATGCACTTTTAAAATTGCAACAACAACAAAAAATTCTTAATAATAAACCTGACCAAGGAGGTAAAAGATTTATGTGTGGAGAACTATAAAACATTGATTAAGGAAACTAAAGATGATTTAAAGAAATGGAAAAGCTATCCCATGCTCCTGGATTGGAAAAATTAATATAGTTAAAATGACCATACTACCCAAAGCAATCTACAGATTTAGTACCATCCCTATCAAATTACCCAGAACATTGTTCACAGAACTAGAACAAATAATCCTAAAATTTATATGAAATCACAAAGACCCTGAATTGCCAAAGTAATACTGAAGAAAAAGAACAAGCCTGGAGAAATAACCCTCCCAGACTTCAGACAATACTACAGAGCTACAGTCATCAAAACAGCATGGGTATGGATACAAAAACAGACATATAGATCAACGGAACAGAAATAAACCTACACACCTACAGTCAATTAATCTTCAACAGAAGAGTGAAGAATCTAGAATGGGGAAAAGACAGTCTCTTAGGGAAGTGGTATTGGGAAAGCTAGACAGCCACATTTAAATCAGTGAAGATAGAACACTCATGTAATACACACACACACACACACACACACACACACACACACCCCTCAAAATGGCTTAAAGACTTAAACATAAGGCAAAACATCATAAGTCTCCTAGAAGAGAACAGTGGCAAAACATTCTCTGACATAAACCATAGCAATGTCCTCCTATGGAGTCTACCCAGACAATAGAAACAAAAGCAAAAATAAACAAATGGGACCTAATTAAACTTATAAGCTTTTGCACAGCAAAGCAAACTATAAATAAAATGAAAAGACAACCTACAGAATGGGAAAAAATATTTGCAATGATGCAGCTGACAAGGGTTTAATTTTCAGAATATACAAACAGCTCATACAACTCAATAACAAAAACAAACAACCCAATCAAACAATGGGTAGAAGATTCAAACAAACAGTTCTCCAATTAAGACATACCAGTGGCCAACAGACACAAGAAAAAATGCTGAGTATCACTAATTATCAGAGAAATGTAAATCAAAACTACAATGAAGCATCATCTCACACCAGTTAGAATGGCCATCATTAAAAAGTCCACAAATGATTAATGCTAGAGAGGATGTGGTGAAAAGGGAACCCTTCTACACTGTTGGTGAGAATGCAGTTTGGTGCAGTCATTATGAAAAACAGTATGGAGATTCCTGAAAAAACTAAAAATACACTTACCATATGACCCAGCAATCCCACTCCTGTGTCTGGAGGGAACTCTAATTCAAAAAGATGCATGCACCCCAATGTTCATAGCAGTACTATTTACAACAGCCAAGACATGGAAGCAACCTAAATGTCCATCGACAGATGACTGGATAAAGAATTTGTGGTGTGTATATATGTATATTCAACCATAAAAAAGAATGAAATAATGCCATTTGTAGCAACATGGATGGACCTAAAGATTATCATACTAAGTGAAGTACATCATAAAAAGAAAGAAAAATACCATATGATATCACTTCTATGTGGAATCTAAAAAAATGACACAAATGAACTTCTTTACAAAACAGAAACAGACTCACAGATATAGAAAACAAACACATGGTTACCAGAGGGGGAAGCAGGTGGGGAGGGATAAACTGGGAGTTTGGAATTTGCAGATACTAACTATTATATATAAAATAAATAAGCAAGGCCCCACTGTATAGCACAGGGAAGTATAATCAATACCCCGTAGGAGTCTATGATGAAAAAGAGTATGAAAAGGAGATAGGTATATAGATACATATATAATAATTGAATCACTATGCAGTACACCAGAAACTAACACACTGTAAATCGACTATACTTCAATTTAAAAGAAGAAGAGCATCAAAGGTCTCAGTTACGACAAACATGGCAGGAAGGAAGAGAATAAAAAAGGCTATAAATTCAGTATAAAATACAATACATATTTTTTTATTGATAATGTAGTACATGCAGGTAAGACACTTCGCCAAGGACACAAATAGTAGAAAAACGCTGACTTTGCTCTCAAGAAGCTTAATAATTATAAGGGAAAAGGGACATACATAGTTGCAAGAAGGGGTCTGAAGTGAGGGGGAGACTTAGCAAACTACAGTTAACTTGTGGTGGGAGTTCAGACGAGGCAGAGACAGCTTCCACTAGTGACTCAGGGAAGGTTCTCTGCAGGAAGTGTTACCTGAAATAAGTCTAGCTATACATTCATATTTGAATACGGGAAGGTTCCTAGGACCTCATTCCATTCAGAATTTAAATTTTTAAAGTTGAAAATTTTAAGTTCCTTAAACTAGGTTAGAACTACAAATCCTGCAAAATTACACTTAGCTTATAGGGACAACTGATCATTAAGCAGAAATAAATAAAAACAAGAAAAGCTGTACATGGAGAGTTGAAGGCCGGCATCACCGGGCTGTGTTTCACTACATCCCGAGCTCCTGAGCTGCTGGCATCTCATTCCAAAGGGAGATGAGAGCTTGCGGGTTGACAGAGCGTCCTGGAAAGAAAAGAGACGGAAGTCACTCGACATGGGGTGGAGGGGAGACCTGAGGGGGAAGAGGGAAGGGCGCTGGGGGGAGGAGCACTGAGGAAAGAGAGAGAAAACAAAGATGGGCAGACAAGTGGGGAGGGGGGCAAAGAGCAGGCAGGATGGACACGGAGAACTCACCAGCGCTTCCGAACCCAAAACGCAAGACCTGCCAGGAGCAGCAGGGGCACCGTCACTGCCAGGAAGATCCAGCCCACGGAGCTGCGGTGCCCTGTGGATCCGGGTGCACACAGTGGTGTCATTTCAAACCCACTCTCGGTGTCACTGCATGTCCCTGCTCTTCCTTTGTTCATTCCAGGGTCTGCCTCCCCAGTCTCCTTTCTCCCTATTTCTTCTCTCCTCCTCCCTCAGAGACGATTCCTTCATTAAGCGCAACATCTTCCTATGTCTGTGGGGCTCTCATTTTCGACTCCTCTATTTCATCTTTTCATTTGTA